ACCCCCCATAAACCCCTCTTAACCCCTCCTAAACCCCTCTTAGGCCCCCTAAACCCCCTCTTCCCCCCTCTCACCCCCCCCATTCACCCCCTATGTCCGTGTCCCCCCCCCAGCTGGTGTCCAAGCGCGCCGGCACCGTGTGCAGTAACTGCCAGACCAGCACCACCACGCTCTGGCGCCGCAGCCCCCGCGGGGACCCCGTCTGCAACGCCTGCGGCCTCTACTATAAACTGCACCGGGTGAGCCCCCCCCCGCTTGAATGGTTCCTTCCAACCCAGGGGTTAATGGGGGGGGGTATGGGGCAGCCCCATTGGGTTTAGTGGGGATGGAGGGGTCCATTTGCAACCCTTAACCCCTGGTCTCCCCCCACTGCTTGAATGGTTCCTTCCAACCCAGGGGTTAATGGGGGGGGTATGGGGCAGCCCCATTGGGTTTAGTGGGGATGGAAGGGTCCATTGGCACCCCTTAACCCCTGTTACCCCTCTCCTTGAATGGTTCCTTCCAACCCGGGGGTCAATGCGGGGGTATGGGGCAGCCCCATTGGGTTTAGTGGGGATGGAGGGGTCCATTGGCACCCCTTAACCCCTGTTACCCCTCTCCTTGAATGGTTCCTTCCAACCCGGGGGTCAATGCGGGGGGTATGGGGCAGCCCCATTGGGTTTAGTGGGGATGGAGGGGTCCATTGGCACCCCTTAACCCCTGGTCTCCCCCCTCCCCTTGAATGGTTCCTTCCAACCCGGGGGTCAATGCAGGGGGTATGGGGCAGCCCCATTGGGTTTAGTGGGGATGGAAGGGTCCATTGGCACCCCTTAACCCCTGGTCTCCCCCCACTGCTTGAATGGTTCCTTCCAACCCAGGGGTTAATGGGGGGGGTATGGGGCAGCCCCATTGGGTTTAGTGGGGATGGAGGGGTCCATTGGCACCCCTTAACCCCTGGTCTCCCCCTACTGCTTGAATGGTTCCTTCCAACCCAGGGGTTAATGGGGGGGGGTTATGGGGCAGCCCCATTGGGTTTAGTGGGGATGGAGGTGTCCATTGGCACCCCTTAACCCCTGTTACCCCTCTCCTTGAATGGTTCCTTCCAACCCGGGGGTCAATGCGGGGGGTATGGGGCAGCCCCATTGGGTTTAGTGGGGATGGAGGGGTCCATTGGCACCCCTTAACCCCTGGTCTCCCCCTACTGCTTGAATGGTTCCTTCCAACCCAGGGGTTAATGGGGGGGGGGTATGGGGCAGCCCCATTGGGTTTAGTGGGGGTGGAAGGGTCCATTGGCACCCCTTAACCCCTGGTCTCCCCCCACTGCTTGAATGGTTCCTTCCAACCCAGGGGTTAATGGGGGGGGGGTATGGGGCAGCCCCATTGGGTTTAGTGGGGATGGAGGTGTCCATTTGCAACCCTTAACCCCTGTTACCCCTCTCCTTGAATGGTTCCTTCCAACCCAGGGGTTAATGGGCGGGGGGTATGGGGCAGCCCCATTGGGTTTAGTGCGGATGGAGGGGTCCATTTGCAACCCTTAACCCCTGGTCTCCCCCCACTGCTTGAATGGTTCCTTCCAACCCCAGGGTCAATGCGGGGGGTATGGGGCAGCCCCATTGGGTTTAGTGGGGATGGAGGGGTCCATTGGCACCCCTTAACCCCTGGTCTCCCCCCACTGTTTGAATGGTTCCTTCCAACCAAGGGGTTAATGGGGGGGGGGGTATGGGGCAGCCCCATTGGGTTTAGTGGGGATGGAGGGGTCCATTGGCACCCCTTAACCCCTGGTCTCCCCCCACTGCTTGAATGGTTCCTTCCAACCCAGGGGTTAATGGGGGGGGTGGGTATGGGGCAGCCCCATTGGGTTTAGTGGGGATGGAGGTGTCCATTTGCAACCCTTAACCCCTGGTCTCCCCCCTCCCCTTGAATGGTTCCTTCCAACCCCAGGGTCCATTGGGGGGGGGGATATGGGGACCCCATTGGGTTCAGTGCTGACGGGGGGGGGCAGGATCGCTATGGGGGGTCCATTCGCACCCCATAACCCCCCTTTTCCCCCCCCCCCCCCAGGTGAATCGGCCCCTGACCATGCGCAAGGACGGGATCCAGACCCGGAACCGCAAAGTCTCGGCCAAGGGGAAGAAGCGGCGCCAAGGGGGGGGTGGGGGGGGCTCCGGCAGCGGGGCGGGGGGAGGGGCAGAGGCCATGGGGGGCCCCCCCCTCCTCCCGCCCCCCCCCATGAGGACCCAGCTGCTCTTTACGCCCTCACCCCCCTCGTGCTCTCCGGGCACCTCCTGCCCTTCCCCCCCCCCAGCCCCTTTCTGGGGGGGCCTGGGGGCAGTTACGTGCCCACCCCCACCCCTGCGGTGCCCCCCCCCAGCCTCAGCCCCCAGCTCTGAGGGGGGAGAATGGGGGGGGAGGGGGTCTCCATTACACTTTGGTGTCACAAATGGACCCAGATTCAAGCCTCTTTATTTTGGGGGGGGTGGAGGGGGTCTGGGGTGGGGGTTGTGCCCCCCCCCCGTGAGTGCATTGGGGGGGGGAACCCCTAAAATGGCTGTGCAAAATGGTTCCCCCCCCCGGGTTGATAATAGTGGGTGCCAAGATGACGGCCTCCAATGGGGTGCAACATAGATGGTGGCCTCCACAGGGGCATGCCCAAGATGGCGGCCTCCATTGGTATGTGCCCAAGATGGCGGCCTCCACAGGGGCACGCCCAAGATGGCAGCCTCCATTGGTATGTGCCCAAGATGGCGGCCTCCGCAGGGGCACGCCCAAGATGGCAGCCTCCATTGGTATGTGCCCAAGATGGCGGCCTCCGCAGGGGCACGCCCAAGATGGCGGCCTCCATAGGGGAGCAAACAAGATGGCGGCCTCCGTAGGGGCGCACCCAAGTTGGCGGGCTCTGTTGGGGCACAACCAAGACGGCGGCCTACTGGGGGTGCGCCCAAGATGGCGGCCTCCTTTGGGGCACGCCCATGATGGCGGCCTCCTTTGGGGCACGCCCATGATGGCGGCCTCCTTTGGGACACGCCCATGATGGCGGCCTCCATTGGGACACGCCCAAGATGGCGGCCTCCATTGGGACACGCCCATGATGGCGGCCTCCATTGGGACACGCCCATGATGGCGGCCTCCATTGGGACACGCCCAAGATGGCGGCCTCCACTGGGACACGCCCATGATGGCGGCCTCCACTGGGACACGCCCAAGATGGCGGCCTCCATTGGGACACGCCCAAGATGGCTGCGTCCGTCGGAGCGCACCCAATATGGCCGCTCACGCCTCGCACCACGTGGCCTCTCGCAGCCAATCCCTGCGCCCTTCCCTTTGCTCAGCCTCGCTCCTGCCTCAGCCCCGCCCCTACGTCATCGCCGTGCGCCGGCGCCAGCGGGGCTGCAGGTGAGCGCGGCCGCTCCCGGTTCTCCCCGATCCCGGGCCGGGGCCCCCCCGATCCCCTCCGGTTCTCCCCCCCCCCACCCGGTTCCCTCCCGTTCCCTTCCCCATCCCCCCCCCGTTCCGTTCCCTTCCCCCCCCCGTTCCCGTTCCTTCCCCCCCCCCCCGTTCCCTCCCCCCCCGGTCCCGTTCCCTTCCCCCCCCCGTTCCCTCCCCCCCCCCGTTCCCGTTCCCTCCCCCCCCGTTCCCGTTCCCTTCCCCCCCGTTCCCGTTCCCTTCCCCCCCGTTCCCGTTCCCTCCCCTCCCCCGTTCCCGTTCCCTCCCCCCCCGTTCCCGTTCCCTCCCCCCCCGTTCCCGTTCCCTTCTCCCCCCGTTCCCGTTCCCTCCCCCCCGTTCCCGTTCCCTTCCCCTTCCCCCCCCCCCGTTCCCGTTCCCTTCCCCCCCCCCCGTTCCCGTTCCCTTCCCCCCCCGTTCCCGTTCCCTTCCCCTCCCGTTCCCTCCCCCCCCGTTCCCGTTCCCTTCCCCCCCGTTCCCGCTCTCTCCTGACCCCGTTGCCCCTCCCCAGGCCCCCTCCGGCGGCTCGATTCCTCCCCCCCTCCCGGCTGCCATGGTGAGAAGGGGCGGGGCTAAAGGGGGCGGTGGGCGGGACTACATGCGGAGGGGCGGGGCTACACTACAAGGTGGAGGCGGGTGGGCGGGGCTCCGTGGTGGCGGGAGGGGTTACATTGGGGTGGGGCGGGGGGGAGAGGAGGGGCGTGGTTTGAAGGGGGGGCGGGGCTTTAAAAGGAGGAGGTGGGCGTGGCTTTGTGTCTGACGTGGCCCCGCCCAGGGCCGCGCGGGGCGCCGAGCCCCGCCCCCGAGGGGGGGGCTGCCCGAGGTCAAGCGCCGCGGCCGAGCCCGGAGCCGGCGGGAGGGGCTGGAGGCGGAGCTACAACGGCTGGTGGGCGGGGCCTAGGGAGTGGGCGGGGCTTTGGGGAGCGGGAGGGGCTATGGGGAGTGGGTATGGCTGGTGGGCGTGGTCTTGCCCCGGGGTGGGGCTATTGGAAGGGGGCGTGGTCTGGAGAAGGGGGTGGGGCTTGGGGACCCCTATAGCTGGGTTCATGGGGGGGGGAGCACCCCAAACCCTTGGTCCTTCGTGGGGGGCGGGGGGCACCCCAATACCTGGGTTTGTTGGGGGGGGTCACAAAGTCCCTTGGGGGGTACCCCAATAACTGCATCCATTGGGATGTGGGGGCCCCCCAATAACCAGGACCTATAGGGACAAGGAGAGGGCACCCCAATAACCAGGGCCTATAGCGATGGGGGGGGCACCCCAATAACCAGGGCCTATGGCGATGGGGGGGGCACCCCAATAACCAGGGCCTATAGTGGTGGGGGGGGCACCCCAATAACCAGGGCCTATAGGGACAAGGAGGGGGCACCCCAATACTTGGCCCCATTGGGATATGGGGAGGGCACCCCAATACCCAAGCCCTTTGGGGTAGGGGTGGAGGGGACTCCCCATAGATCTTAATGGGGACCCCCCCTTATCCCCCCCCCGTTACCAGGACCTGGGGACCGACGCTGCAGCCCCCACCGGGACAGGGCTGGTCTATGAGGATGCTCAGAGGTACCCCAAAACCTCCCCCCCCCCCCATGGTATTGGGGTCCCCCCTTGGACACTGAGGTCCCATTGACCCCCAACAGCCCTGGGGGGCCGGAGCCGCTGGCGAGGGCTTGGGCAGCGCTGGAGGAGCTGGGGCTGGTGCAGCGCTGTGTGCGCCTGGAGGTGAGGAACGGGGCCCCCACTGATATCGGGGTCCCCCCATTGGTATCGGGGTCCACTCATTGTCATCGGGGTCCCCTTATTGACATCGGGGTCCCCTTATTGATATCGGGGTCCCCCCACTGACATCGGGGTCCCCCCATTGGCATCGGGGTCCCCTCATTGACATCGGGGTCCCCCCATTGACATCGGGGTCCCCCCCATTGATATCGGGGTCCCTCCCATTGATATCGGGGTCCGCCCATTGACATCGGGGTCCCCTCATTGACATCGGGGTCCCCCCCATTGACATCGGGGTCCCCTCATTGACATCGGGGTCCACTCATTGTCATCGGGGTCCCCTTATTGACATCAGGGTCCCCCCATTGACATCGGGGTCCCCTCATTGACATCGGGGTCCCCCCCACTGACATCGGGGTCCCCCCTATTGACATCAGGGTCCCCCCATTGATATCGCGGTCCCCCCCATTGATATCAGGGTCCCTCCCATTGATATGGGGGTCCCTCCCATTGATATCGGGGTCCCCCCCATTGATATCAGGGTCCCTCCCATTGATATGGGGGTCCCCCATTGCTATTGGGGTCTCCCCATTGATATTGGGGTCCCCCCATTGATATCGGGGTCCCTCCCATTGATACGGGGGTCCCCCATTGATATCGGGGTCCCCCCATTGATATTGGGGTCCCTCCCATTGATATCGGGGTCCCCCCATTGATATGGGGGTCCCATTGATACTGGGGTCCCCCATTGATATCGGGGTCCCCCATTGATATGGGGGTCCCATTGATATCGGGGTCCCCCCATTGATATCGGGGTCCCCAATGGCTTCTCTTGCCCTCAGTGTCGCCCGGCCACCAATGAGGAGCTGCTGCTGCTGTACAGGTTGGGGGGCTCCTATGGGGTTTTGGGGGTCCCTATGAGGGTTTGGGGGGGTCCCTATGGGGTTTTTGGGGGTCCCTATGGGGGTTTGGGGGGGTCCCTATGGGGTTTGGGGATCCCTGAGGGCAGTTTTGGGGTCCCCAGCCCCACATTGCAGGAGCAGACGGAGCAGCAGCCCCCACCCGCGCCCCCCCCGGTGAGTGCAGCTATGGGGGGGTTTGGGGTCCCTATGGGGGGTTTGGGGTCCCCTATGGGGGATTTGGGTCCCTATGGGGGGTTTGGGTCCCTATGGGGGTTTGGGGTCCCCTATGGGGGGTTTGGGGGTCCCCTATGGGGTTTTGGGGTCCCTACGGGGGGTTTGGGGTTCCCTATGGGGGTGTTTGAGGTCCCCTATGGATGCTTTGGGGTCCCCTATGGGGGTGTTTGGGGTCCCCTATGGATGCTTTGGGGTCCCTATGGGGTTTTGGGGTCCCTATGGGGGGTTTGGTGGTCCCCTATGGGGTTTCGGGGTCCCTATGGGGTTTGGGGTCCCTATGGGGGTGTTTGGGGTCCCTATGGGGGGTTTGGGGGTCCCCTATGGGGTTTTGGGGTCCCTACGGGGGGTTTGGGGTCCCCTATTGGGGTTTGGGGTCCCTATGGGGTTTCGGGGTCCCTATGGAGTTTGGGGTCCCCTATGGATGCTTTGGGGTCCCTATGGGGAGTTTGGGGGTCCCCTATGGGGTTTGGGGTCCCCTATGGGGTTTTGGGGACCTCTGTGGGGGTTTGGGGTCCGTATGGGGGGGGTTTGGGGTCCTCATGGATGCTTTGGGGTCCCCTCAGGGCCTCTCCCTGGCTCTGGGGTCGCTGCTGGAGCTGCAGCAGAAGGTGCTGAGCGGGGACCTGCGCAATGGATTGGTGCTGGTGCGGTACGGACCCATGGGCCCCATGGAGACCCCATAGAGACCCCATAGAGACCTTATGGACACCCTATAGGGACTCTATAGGGACCCCATAGAGATCTCATAGAGACCCTATGGACACCCTATAGGGACTCTATAGGGACCCCATAGAGACCTCATAGAGACCCTATGGACACCCTATAGGGACTCTATAGGGACCCCATAGCGATCTCATAGAGATCCTACAGGGACCTGATGGAAACCCTTTAGAGACCCTGTAAAAGCCTTATAGAGGTCCTATAGAGACCTTATAGAGAGCCTATAGAAACCTTATAGAGAGCCTATGGACACTCTATAGGGACTCTATAGGGACCCCATAGAGATCTCATAGAGACCCTATGGGCACCCTATAGGGACTCTATAGGGACCCCATAGACACCTCGTAGAGACCCTATGGACACCCTATAGGGACTCTATAGGGACCCCATAGAGACCTCATAGAGACCCTATGGACACCCTATAGGGACTCTATAGGGACCCCATAGAGACCTCATAGAGACCCTATGGACACCCTATAGGGACTCTATAGGGACCCCATAGCGATCTCATAGAGATCCTACAGGGACCTGATGGAAACCCTTTAGAGACCCTGTAAAAGCCTTATAGAGATCCTATAGAAACCTTATAGAGAGCCTATGGACACCCTATAGGGACTCTATAGGGACCCCATAGAGACCTCATAGAGACCCTATGGACACCCTATAGGGACTCTATAGGGACCCCATAGAGACCTCATAGAGACCCTATGGACACCCTATAGGGACTCTATAGGGACCCCATAGCGATCTCATAGAGATCCTACAGGGACCTGATGGAAACCCTTTAGAGACCCTGTAAAAACCTTATAGAGGTCCTATAGAGACCTTATAGAGAGCTTATGGACACCCTATAGGGATCCTAGGGATGCCTTACAGTGACCCTATAGAGGCCCTATAGAGATCCTATAGAAATCCTAGGGATGCCCTATAAAGATCTTATACAGATCTGTATGCAGTATATCCCATAGGAGTACCCTACTGCTGCCTGAGCGTTGCCCTATGGTGCTATAGGGGCTGCCCTATGGTGCTATGGGGCGCTATAGGGCTGCCCTATGGTGCTATGGGGGCGCTATAGGGCTGCCCTATGGCGCTATGGGGGCGCTATAGGGCTGCCCTATGGTGCTATAGGGGCTGCCCTATGGTGCTATGGGGGTGCTATAGGGCTGCCCTATGGCGCTATGGGGGCGCTATAGGGCTGCCCTATGGTGCTATGGGGGGGCTATAGGGCTGCCTTATGGTGCTATGGGGGCGCTATAGGAGCTGCCCTATGGTGCTATGGGGGCGCTATAGGGCTGCCCTATGGTGCTATAGGGCCCCTGCTGTCCCTGCAGCCCCCCCCAGCACCTGGGCTCCAGCCCCATCAGCGCCGCGGCTCGAGCAGCCCAGAGACACGGCCTGGAGCGGTGAGGGGGCTATGGGGGCTATGGGGGCTATGGGGGGGCTATAGGGGCTATGGGGGGTATGGGGGGTATGGGTGCTATAGGGGCTATGGGGGTTATGGGGGCTCTGGGGGGTATAGGGGCTATGGGGTGTATGGGGGGTATGGGGGCTATAGGTGGTATGGGGGGTATGGGGTTATGGGGGGTATAGGGGGTATGGGGCCTATGGGGGGTATGGGGGCTATAGGGGGTATGGGGGGTATAGGGGCTATGGGGGGTATGGGGGTTATGGGGGCTATAGGGGCTAAAGGGGCTATGGGGGCTATAGGGGCTATGGGGGCTATAGGGGCTATGGGGGCTATAGGGGCTATGTAGGATATAGGGGCTATAGGGGGGCTATGGGGGCTATAGGGGCTATGGGTGCTATAGGGGCTATGGGGGATATAGGGGCTATAGGGGCTATGGGGGTATGGAGGCTATGTGGGGAATGGGGAGTTCTCAGGGTGGGATTTGGGGGTTTTGGGGTGCTGTGGGTGTGTTACAGGGGATGCTCTATGGGTGCTATAGGAGTGCTCTAGAGGTGCTTTAGAGATGCTATAAAGGTGCTATAGGGGCGCTGTAGGGTGCTATGGGGTGCTATAGAGTGCTATGGGGGCGCTATGGGGTGCTATGGGGCGCTATAGTGTGCTGTGGGGCGCTATAGGGTGCTATAGGGGTGCTATGGGACGCTATACGGTGCTATGGGGTGCTATAGGGTGCTATGGGACACTATACGGTGCTATAGGGGCACTATAGGGTGCTATGGGGCGCTATAGGGTGCTATGGGGCGCTATAGGGTGCTGTGGGGCTCTATAGGGTGCTATAGGGGTGCTATGGGACGCTATACGGTGCTATAGGGCGCTATAGGGTGCTATAGGGTGCTATGGGGCACTATAGGGTGCTATGGGGCGCTTTAGGGTGCTATGGGGCGCTATAGGGCGCTATAGGGTGCTATAGGGTGCTATGGGGCGCTATAGGGTGCTGTGGGGCACTATACGGTGCTATAGGGCGCTATGGGGCGCTCTATGGGTGCTCCCCCCCCCCCCCCCAGGATCCTCCTCGTGGATTGGAGCCCCCAGCCCGGCCGGGCCCCCCCCCGCCTCAGCCAGGAGCAGCCGGGGTGAGTGCTGGGGGGACTGGGATCCATTGGGATCCATTGGGATCCATTGGGATCCATTGGGATGCACTGGGATCCATTGGGATCCATTGGGATGCACTGGGATGCATTGGGATGCACTGGGATGCACTGGGATCCATTGGGATCCATTGGGATGCACTGGGATCCATTGGGATCCATTGGGATGCGCTGGGATCCATTGGGATGCATTGGGATGCACTGGGATCCACTGGGATCCATTGGGATGCACTGGGATGCACTGGGATCCATTGGGATGCATTGGGATGCTCTGGTATGCATTGGGATCCATTGGGATGCACTGGGATGCACTGGGATCCATTGGGATGCGCTGGGATGCATTGGGATCCATTGGGATGCACTGGGATGCATTGGGATGCTCTGGGATCCATTGGGATGCACTGATATCCACTGGGATGCATTGGGATCCATTGGGATGCACTGGGATCCATTGGGATGCATTGGGATCCATTGGGATTCATTGGGATGCACTGGGATCCATTGGGATCCATTGGGATGCCCCATTCCCCGCAGGCTGCTCTATTTTGGGATGCACCAGGGCAGGGACCCCCCCCCCTGCCCCAGCGACGGCTTCACCGTGGAGCTGCACTGGGACGAGGTTCTATGGGGCTGTGGGGGGTATGGGGGGTATAGGGGGTATGGGGGTATAGGGGCTATAGGGGGTATGGGGGGTATGGGGCCTGTGGGGGGTATGGGGGGTATAGGGGCTATGGGGGGTATGGGGGCTATGGGGGGTATGGGGGGTATAGGGGCTATGGGGGGTATGGGGTGCTATGGGGGCTATAGGGGTTATGGGGGCTATGGGGGGTATAGGGGCTATGGGGGGTATGGGGATTATGGGGGCTATGGGGCGTATGGGGGGTATAGGGGCTATGGGGGGCTATGGGGGCTGTGGGGGGTATGGGGGGTATAGGGGCTATGGGGGTATGGGGGGTATAGGGGCTATGGGGGGTATGGGAGGCTATGGGGGGCTATGGGGCGTATGGGGGGTATAGGGGCTATGGGGGGTATGGGGGGCTATGGGGGGCTATAGGGGTTATGGGGGTATAGGGGCTATAGGGGGTATGGGGGGTATAGGGGCTATAGGGGCTATGGGGGGTATAGGGGCTATGGGGGGTATAGGGGGTGTTATGGGGGGTATGGGGGCTATAGGGGTTATGGGGGGTATAGGGGCTATTGGGGGTATATAGGAGCTATGAGGGCTATGTGGTGCTATGGGGGCTATGGGATCATGGAGGATATGGGGGCTATGGGGTGCTATTGGGCTTGGGGGGGCTTATGTGGGTACATACAATGTTATAGGGCTTCTATGGGTCGCTATAGGGGGTGTGGGGGTTACTGTAGGTGACGCATGGTTGGCTATAGGGGCTCTGTGGGTCACTATAAGGGCTCTGTGGGTCACTATAGGGGCTCTGTGGGTCACTATAAGGGCTCTATGGGTCACTATAGGGGCTCTGTGGGTCACTATAAGGGCTCTATGGGTCGCTATAGGGTCTATAGGGTCCCTATAGGCTCCGCTGTCCCTATAGGCTGGCATGACAGATGGGGACTACGCAGCCGCCTTCTTCCATCTCCTGCTGCCCATTGCCTTTGAGGTTGGGAGGGGGTCCTGAAGGGCCCTATGGGGGCTATGGGGGCCCTATGGGGGCTATGGGGGCCCTATGGGGGCTATAGGGGCCCTATAGGGCCCTGTGGGTGCTGTGGGGCCCCATGGGGTCCAATGGCTGCCGTGTCCCTGCAGTTCCAGCCCCAGCTCGTGCTGGTGGCCGCCAGCTTCGACATCGCCTCCGAGGACCCCAAGGTACCTATGGGGTGCGTGGGCGCCTATGGGGTGCGTGGGTGCCTATGGGGTGCATGGGTGCCTATGGGGTGTGTGGGCGCCTATGGGGTGCGTGGGTGCCTATGGGGTGCGTGGGTGCCTATGGGGTGCATGGGTGCCTATGGGGATGTATGGGCACCTATAGGGGTATATGGGCACCTATAGGGTGTATGGGTGCCTATAGGTGTGTATGGTGCCTATGGGGGTGTATGGGCACCTATAGGTGTGTATGGTGCCTATGGGGGTGTATGGGCGCCTATAGATCCCTATAGGGGTGTATGGGTGCCTATAGGGGTGTATGGGTGCCTCTAGGTGTGTATGGTGCCTATGGGGGTGCATGGGTGCCTATGGGGTGTATGGGCACCTATAGGTGTGTATGGTGCCTATGGGGGTGTATGGGTGCCTATAGATCCCTATAGGCGTGTATGGGTGCCTATAGATCCCTATAGGGGTGTATGGGCCCCTATAGATCCCTATAGGGGTGTATGGGTGCCTATAGATCCCTATGGGGGTGTATGGGCACCTATAGATCCCTATGGGGTGTATGGGTGCCTATAGGTCCCTATAGGGGCGTATGGGCGCCTATAGGGGTGTATGGGTGCCTATAGGTCCCTATAGGGGCGTATGGGCGCCTATAGGTCTCTATAGGGGGTGTGGGCCTGGTTGGGGGGGGTCCCGTCAGCCTCCCCCCCCCCCTTCCCCTTTAGTGGTGCTGGAGGGCTCCTGGGGGTGGTTGCGTGCTGTGGGGCTCTATGGGGCTCTGGGGGCTCTGTGGGCTCTATGGGGCTCTGGGGGGCTCTGTGGGCTCTATGGGGCTCTGTGGGCTCTATGGGGCTCTATGGGGCTCTGTGGGCTCTATGGGGCTCTATTGGGCTCTGTGGGGCTCTGTGGGCTCTATGGGGCTCTATGGGGCTCTGTGGGCTCTATGGGGCTCTGTGGGCTCTATGGGGCTCTATGGGGCTCTATGGGGCTCTGTGGGCTCTATGGGGCTCTGTGGGGCTCTGTGGGGCTCTATGGGGCTCTGTGGGGCTCTGGGGGCTCTATGGGGCTTTGTGGGGCTCTGGGGGCTCTGTGAGGCTCTGTGGGGCTCTGTGGGCTCTATGGGGCTCTACAGGGTTCTATGGGGCTCTATAGGGTTCTATGGGGCTCTATAGGGTTCTATGGGTTTCTATGGGGCTCTATGGGTTTCTATGGGGCTCTATAGGGGTCTATGGGCTCTATGGGGCTCTATAGGGTTCTATGGGCTCTATGGGGCTCTCTAGGATTCTATGGGGCTCTCTAGGGGTCTATGGGGCCCTATAGGGTTCTATGGGGCTCTGTAGGGCTCTATAGGGTTCTATGGGGCTCTATAGGGGTCTATGGGGTTCTATGGGGCTCTATAGGGTTCTATGGGGTTCTGTGGGGCTCTATAGGGTTCTATGGGCTCTATGGGGCTCTCTAGGGTTCTATGGGGCTCTGTAGGGCTCTATGGGGCTCTCTAGGGTTTTATGGGGCTCTATAGGGGTCTATGGGGCTCTATAGGGTTCTATGGGGCTCTATAGGGGTCTATGGGGCTCTATAGGGTTCTATGGGGCTCTATAGGGGTCTATGGGGCTCTATAGGGGTCTATGGGGTTCTATGGGGCTCTGTAGGTGTCTATGGGGTTCTGTGGGGCTCTATAGGGGTCTATGGGGTTCTATGGGGCTCTGTAGGTGTCTATGGGGTTCTATGGGGCTCTATAGGGGTCTATGGGGTTCTATGGGGCTCTATAGGGTTCTATGGGGTTCTATGGGGCTCTATAGGGTTCTATGGGGTTCTATGGGGCTCTATAGGGGTCTATGGGGTTCTATGGGGCTCTATAGGGGTCTATGGGGTTCTGTGGGGCTCTACAGGGTTCTGTGGGGCTCTGTAGGGGTCTATGGGGTTCTATGGGGCTCTATAGGGGTCTATGGGGTTCTATGGGGCTCTGTAGGGGTCTATGGGGTTCTGTGGGGCTCTATAGGGGTCTATGGGGTTCTATGGGGCTCTATAGGGTTCTATGGGGTTCTATGGGGCTCTATAGGGGTCTCGTGTCCCCCCCAGGGGCAAGGGGGGGTCTCCCCCGATGGATTCGCTCTCCTGACCCATTTGCTGTCAGCGCTGGCGGGGGGGCGCCTGGTCCTGGCCCTCGAGGTGAGGCTGTGGGGCGCTATGGGGCGCTATGGGGGGCGATGGGGGTATGGGGGGTATAGGGGTTATGGGGGCTATATGGGTTATAGGGGGGTATGGGAGCTATGGGGCGCTATGGGGGGCGATGGCGGCTATGGGGGGTATAGGGGTTATGGGGGCTATATAGGTTATAGGGGGGTATGGGGGCTATGGGGGGTGATGGGGGTTATAGGGGTCTATGGGGAGCTATGGGGGGTATAGGGGGGCATGGGGGCTATAGGGATTATGGGGGCTATGGGGGTATGGGGGCTATGGGGGGCTATAGGGGTTATAGAAGGGTATGGGGGTTATAGGGGGGTATGGGGGCTATGGGGGGTCATGGGGGCTATGGGGGTGTAGGGGTTATGGGGGGTGGAGGCTATGGGGGGTTATGGGGGCTATGGGGGGTTATGGGGGCTATGGGGGGTGTAGGTGCTATGGGGGGCTATGAGCATGGGGGGGTCTATATGGGCCATAGGGGGTTATGGGGGGGCTGTGGGGGGTTATGGGGGCTATGGGGGCTATGGGGGCTATGGGGGTTATGGGGGCTATGGGGGGCTATGGGGGCTATGGGGGTTATGGGGGCTATAGGGGGTTATGGGGGCTATGGGGGGCTATGGGGGCTATGGGGGTTATGGGGGCTATAGGGGGTCATGGGGGCTATGGGGGGGTTATGGGGGCTATAGGGGGTTATGGGGGCTATGGGGGGTGTAGGTGCTATGGGGGGCTATGAGCATGGGGGGGTCTGTATGGGCCATAGGGGGGTGATGGGGGGGGCTATGGGGGGTTAACGTGGGGGGGGGTCCCTATGGAGTCCATGGGGGAGCCCTGACCCCCCCCTCCTGTCCCATAGGGGGGGGCGGGGGCGGCGGCGCTGGGGGGGGGGCTCAGCTCCATCCTGCGCTCGCTGCTGGGGGACCCCGGGGACCCCCCCGGCCCCATGGTGCCCACCCCAAGGTGAGGGCATGGGGGGGCTGGGGGGGGCTATGGGGGTGATTGGGGGCAATGGGGGGTGATTGGGGGCTATGGGGGGGCTATGGGGGGTGATTGGGGGCTATGGGGGGTGATTGGGGGCTATGGGGGGTGATTGGGGGCTATGGGGGGAGCGATGGGGGGTGATTGGGGGCTATGGGGGGTGATTGGGGGGGCTATGGGGGGTGATTGGGGGCTATGGGGGGTGATTGGGGGCTATGGGGGGCTATGGGGGGTGATTGGGGGCTATGGGGGGAGCTATGGGGGGTGATTGGGGCTATGGGGGGGCTATGGGGGGCTATGGGGGGTGATTGGGGGCTATGGGGGGGGCTATGGGGGGTGATTGGGGGCTATGGGGGGTGATTGGGGGGGCTATGGGGGGGTGATTGGGGGCTATGGGGGGGCTATGGGGGGTGATTGGGGGCTATGGGGGGAGCTATGGGGGGTGATTGGGGGCTATGGGGGGTGATTGGGGGCAATGGGGGGTGATTGGGGGCTATGGGGGGGCTATGGGGGGTGATTGGGGGCTATGGGGGGTGATTGGGGGCTATGGGGGGGCTATGGGGGGTGATTGGGGGCTATGGGGGGTGATTGGGGGCTATGGGGGGGCTATGGGGGGTGATTGGGGGCTATGGGGGGAGCTATGGGGGCTATGGGGGGCTATGGGGGGCTATGGGGGGCTATGGGGGGCTATGGGGGGCTATGGGGGGCTATGGGGGGTGATGGGGGGGTGATGGGGGGGGCTATGGGGGGCCTATAGGGGGTGCAATGGGGGGCTATGGGGGGGCTATGGGGGTGATTGGGGGCTATGGGGGAGCTATGGGGGGTGATTGGGGGCTATGGGGGGCTATGGGGGGAGCTATGGGGGTGATTGGGGGCTATGGGGGGGCTATGGGGGGTGATTGGGGCTATGGGGGGTGATTGGGGGCAATGGGGGGGGCTATGGGGGGTGATTGGGGCCTATGGGGGGCTATGGGGCATGATTGGGGGCTATGGGGGGGGCTATGGGGGGTGATTGGGGGCTATGGGGGGCTATGGGGGGAGCTATGGGGGGTGATTGGGGGCATGATTGGGGGCTATGGGCGGGGCTATGGGGGGTGATTGGGTGTTATAGGGGTTTATGGGGGGGCTATAGGGGGGCTGTAGGGGGTTATGAGGAGCTCCAGCGGGGCTATAGGGGAGGCTATAGGGGTTTATATGGGGGGCTGTGAGGGGCTATAGGGGGTTCTATAGGGGGTGCTATGGGGGCTATCGGGGGTGTCTATAGAGGGTTATGGGGGGTCTCTAGGGGGCTATGGGGGGCACTTTGGTTCCCCCCCTATCCCCCCACGTATCCCCCCTCCCCCCAGCGGCCTGGCCTGCGTGTCCCGGGCCTTGTCCCTGCACCGCCCGCGCTGGAGGTACCTGAGCTGCGCCGGTGAGTGGGGGACGGGCACCCCAAATCGAGGGCAGGCTTCGCGGGCTGCGCTAGGCCCGGTTGCTAAGGGGGGGACAGGCTGGTTGCTAGGGCGGCCATCTTGGTTGTTAGGGCGGCCATCTTGGTTGCTAGGGCGCCATCTTGGTTGTTAGGGCGCCATCTTGGTTGCTTGGGCGGCCATCTTGGTTGCTAAGGCGCCATCTTGGTTGCCATGCAGGGCGCCGCCATCTTGGCTCCCCTCAGCAATGGCTGCAGAGGGGGGGGCACAAAATGGGGCCGGGATCGGGGCCTGAGGCTGCTCCATTGCAGAGCCCGAGGAGGAGGAGGAGGAAGAGGAAGAGGAGGAGGAGGAGGAGGAAGTGGAGGAGGTGGAGGAGGAGGAGGAGGAGGGGGGGGATGAAGGCGATGAAGGGGACGCCCCCCCCCCGCAGCAGCCGCCATGGCCGCAGCCCGCGGCCCGCACGGGGCTGCTCTATGATGAGCGCATGGAGGAGCACCACAACCCCTGGGACAGGTGAGGCCCGGCCGGGGGTCCCTGCGGGGTCAGGGGCACCCATGGGTCCCTATGGGTCCCTGTGGTCCTATGGGGTCAGTGGCACCCATGGGTCTCTATGGATCCCTGCGTTCCCTATGGGGTTAATGGCACCCATGGGTCCCTGTGGGGTTAGTGGCACCCATGGCTTCCCTGTGGGTCCCTATGGGGTCAATGGCACCCATGGGTCTCTATGGGTCCCTGTGGTCCCTATGGGGTCAGGGGCACCCATGGGTCCCTATGGGTCCCTGTGGTCCCTATGGGGTCAATAGCACCTATGGGTCCCTATGGGGTCAATGGCACCCATGGGTCCCTATGGGGTCAGTGGCACCCATGGGTCCGTATGGATCCCTGCGTTCCCTATGGGGTTAATGGCACCCATGGGTCCCTATGGGGTCAGTGGCACCCATGGGTCCCTATGGGTCCCTGTGGTCCCTATGGGGTCAATAGCACCCATGGGTCCCTATGGGGTCAGTGGCACCCATAGGTCCCTATGGGTCCCTGTGGTCACTATGGGGTCAATGGCACCCATGGGTCCCTATGGGGTCAGTGGCACCCGTGGCTTCCATATGAGTCCCTATGGGGTCAATGGCACCCATGGGTCCTCTATGGGTCCCTATGGGGTCAATAGCACCCATGGGTCCCTATGGGTCTCTATGGATCCCTATGGGTCCATCTGGGTCCCTCTGGTCCCCCTGGCACCCATGGGTCTCTATGGGTCCCTCTGGGTCCCTCTGTCCCCCTGCCCCACGGGTGCCTCTGTTCCCCTGCCCCACGGGTGCCTCTGTCCCCTGCCCCACGGGTGCCTCTGTCCCTGCCCCACGGGTGCCTGTGTCCCTGCCCCACGGGTGCCTCTGTTCCCCTGCCCCACGGGTGCCTCTTCCCCTGCCCCACGGGTGCCTCTGTTCCCCTGCCCCACGGGTGCCTCTGTTCCCCTGCCCCACGGATGCCTCTGTCCCTGCCCCACGGGTGCCTCTGTTCCCCTGCCCCACGGGTGCCTCTGTCCCTGCCCCACGGGTGCCTCTTCCCCTGCCCCATGGGTGCCTCTTCCCCTGCCCCACGGGTGCCTCTGTCCCTGCCCCACGGGTGCCTCTGTCCCTGCCCCACGGGTGCCTCTGTTCCCTGCCCCACGGGTGCCTCGGTTCCTGCCCCACGGGTGCCTCTGTTCCCCTGCCCCACGGGTGCGTCTGTCCCTGCCCCACGGGTGCCTCTGTCCCTGCCCCACGGGTGCCTCTGTCCCTGCCCCACGGGTGCCTCTTCCCCTGCCCCACGGGTGCCTCTGTCCCTGCCCCACGGGTGCCTCTTCCCCTGCCCCACGGGTGCCTCTTCCCCTGCCCCACGGGTGCCTCTGTCCCTGCCCCACGGGTGCCTCTGTCCCTGCCCCACGGGTGTCTCTGTCCCTGCCCCACGGGTGCCTCTGTTCCCCTGCCCCACGGGTGCCTCTGTCCCTGCCCCACGGGTGCCTCTGTTCCCCTGCCCCACGGGTGCCTCTGTCCCTGCCCCACGGGTGCCTCTGTTCCCCTGCCCCACGGGTGCCTCTGTCCCTGCCCCACGGGTGCCTCTGTCCCTGCCCCACGGGTGCCTGTGTCCCTGCCCCACGGGTGCCTCTGTCCCTGCCCCACGGGTGCCGTGCCGCCCGCAGCCAGCACCCTGAGGCCCCGCAGCGGGGCAGGCGCATCCTGGAGCGGGCGCAGGAGCTGGGGCTGGCTCAGCGCTGCCTGCGCCTGCCTGCGAGGGCTGCGAGCACCGGGGAGCTGCGGGCCTGCCACACGTGAGGGGGGAATGGGGCAATGGGGGCGATGGGGGAATGGGGGAATGGGGGTCAATGGGGGTGATGGGGCAATGGGGGCGATGGGGCAATGGGGGAATGGGGGGCAATGGGGGCGATGGGGGAATGGGGGGCAATGGGGGAATGGGGGCGATGGGGCAATGGGGGAATGAGGGGCAATGGGGGCGATGGGGGAATGGGGGGCAATGGGGGAATGGGGGTGGGGGGATGGGAATGGGAGTGGGGAAATGGGGGTGGGGATTCGGGGGGGATGGGGGTGGGGGGGATGGGAATGGGGGGATGGGGCAATGGGGGGCAATGGGGGTAGTGGGGGCAATGGGGATGATGGGGCAATGGGGGGAGTGGGGGAATGGGGGGCAATGGGGGTAGTGGGGGTATGGGGGCGATGGGGGGATGGGGGAATGGGGGTCAATGGGGGTGATGGGGCAATGGGGGCAATGGGGGGATGGGGGAATGGGGGTCAATGGGGGTATGGGGGTGATGGGGCAATGGGGGCAATGGGGGGATGGGGGAATGGGGGCGATGGGGGAATGGGGGTCAATGGGGGTATGGGGGTGATGGGGCAATGGGGGCAATGGGGGAATGGGGGGCGATGGGGCAATGGGGGGCAATGGGGGGATGGGGGAATGGGGATGATGGGGCAATGGGGGTAGTGGGGGAATGGGGGGGAATGGGGGGCAATGGGGGTAGTAGGGGTATGGGGGCGATGGGGGCCATGGGGGTGCCCCCATGGGGCAATGGGGGAATGGGGGTCAATGGGGGTGATGGGGCAATGGGGGCAATGGGGGGATGGGGGAATGGGGGCAATGGAATGGGGGTCAATGGGGGTGATGGGGCAATGGGGGTAGTGGGGGCAATGGGGATGATGGGGCAATGGGGGTAGTGGGGGAATGGGGGGCAATGGGGGTAGTGGGGGTATGGGGGCGATGGGGGAATGGGGGGATGGGGGAATGGGGGTCAATGGGGGTGATGGGGCAATGGGGGCAATGGGGGGATGGGGGAATGGGGGCGATGGGGGAATGGGGGTCAATGGGGGTATGGGGATGATGGGGCAATGGGGGCAATGGGGGTAGTGGGGGCAATGGGGATGATGGGGCAATGGGGGTAGTGGGGGTATGGGGGGCAGTGGGGGTAGTGGGGGTGATGGAGTAATGGGGGAATGGGGGGCAATGGGTTACAATGTGGTCACATTGGGGTCACGGGTTCACACCAGGGTCACACTGGGGTTCATTGGGGTCACAGAGGGTCATGCTGGGCTCACTGGGGCCACACTGGGGTCATGGGTCACACTGGGGTCATGGGGTCACACGGGGTCATATGGGTCACACTGGGGGTGCAATGGGGTCACTGTGGGGTAACAATGGGGTCACACAGGGTCACACTGGGCTCAATGGGGTCATGTGACGGTCATGGTGGGGTCACGGGGTCATGGTGGGGTCACGGTGGGGTCACGGGTCACTGGGTCATGGTGGGGTCACTGGTTCATGCTGGGGTCATGCTGGGGTCACGGGGTCACGCTGGGGTCGCACTGGGGTCACTGGGTCACGCTGGGGTCACTGGGTCGTGCTGGGGTCACGGGGTCGTGCTGGGGTCAAGCTGGGGTCACTGGGTCACGCTGGGGTCACTGGGTCACGCTGGGGTCACGGGTCACTGGGTCATGGTGAGGTCACGGTGGGGTGACGGGGTCATGCTGGGGTCGCGCTGGGGTCACGGGGTTGCGCTGGGGTCATGCTGGGGTCACGCTGGGGTCACGCCGGGCTCACGGGGTCACTCTGGGGTCACGCTGGGGTCGCGCTGGGCTCACGGGGTCGCGCTGGGTTCGAGCTGGGGTCCCAGGGTCACGCTGGGGTCACGCTGGGGTCACGCCGGGGTCACGGGGTCACGCTGGGGTCACACCGGGCTCCCGGGGTGACGCCGTCCTCCCGGCCGCAGGGGGGCGCTCCTGTCCCTCCTGGCGCGCTCGGCGGCGCTGCCCGCGCGGGACCTGCGCTCCGTGGCCGCGCGCTTCGACTCGCTCTTCCTGAGCCCCCGCTCCCACGCGTGCGCGCGGCTCGCGGCCGGCACCGCCTGCGCCGCCGTGGGGGCCGTGCTCAGCGGGCAGGTACCGGGGGGGTCCTGCGGGGGCTCCTATGGGGTCCTATGGGGTTCTATGGGGTCCTATGGGGTTCTATGGGGTCCTATGGGGTTCTATGGGGTCCTATGGGGTTCTCTGCGGGTCCTATGGGGGTCCTATGGGGTTCTGTGGGTGTCCTATGGGGTTCTATGGGGGTCCTATGGGGTTCTGTGCGGGTCCTATGGGGTTCTATGGGGGTCCTATGGGGTTCTATGGGGCTCCAATGGAGTTCTATGGGGGTCCTATGGGGTTCTGTGGGGGTCCTATGGGGTTCTGTGGGGTTCCAATGGGGTTCTGTGGGGGTCCTATGGAGTTCTATGGGGGTCCTATGGAGTTCTATGGGGGTCCTATGGGGTTCTGTGGGGGTTCCAATGGGGTTCTGTGGGGGTCCTATGGGGTTCTGTGGGTGTCCTATGGGGTTCTGTGGGGGTCCTATGGGGTTCTATGGGGGTCCTATGGGGTTCTATGGGGGTCCTATGGGTCTCTCTCTCTGTGGGTCTCTATGGGTCTCCATGGGTGTTTATGGGTCTGTGTAGGTTCCTATGGGTCTCTGTGGGTCCTTATGGGTCCCTATGGCTCTCTATGGGTCCCCATGGTTCTCTATGGGTCCCTATGGCTCTCTATGGGTCCCTATGGCTCTCTATGGGTCCCCATGGGTCTCTATGGGTCCCCATGGGTCTCTAGGGGTCCCTATGGCTCTCTATGGGTCCCCATGGCTCTCTATGGGTCCCCATGGGTCTCTATGGGTCCCCATGGCTCCCTATGGCTCTCTATGGGTCCCCATGGGTCTCTATGGGTCCCCATGGCTCTCTATGGGTCCCCATGGCTCCCTATGGGTCCCCATGGCTCCCTATGGGTCTCTATGGCTCTCTATGGGTCCCCATGGGTCTCTATGGGTCCCCATGGCTCTCTATGGGTCCCCATGGCTCCCTATGGGTCCCCATGGCTCCCTATGTGTCCCTATGGCTCTCTATGGGTCCCCATGGCTCCCTATGGCTCTCTATGGGTCCCCATGGGTCTCTATGGGTCCCCATGGCTCTCTATGGGTCCCCATGGCTCTCTATGGGTCTCTATGGGTCCCCATGGCTCCCTATGGGTCTCCCTCTCCATGGGGCAGGTCCGCAACGCCTTGGCCATCGTGCGCCCCCCCGGGCACCACGCGGGCCCCGGGGCCCCCGGCGGCTTTTGCCTCTTCAACAACGTGGCCGTGGCGGCGCGGCACGGACAGGGGCTGGCGGGGGGGCAGCTGCGGGGAGGGGGGAGGGGAGGGGGGTGGGGTGGGGGGATGGGATGGGGGAGGGGGGTTGGGATGGGGGGCAGGGGATGGGGGAGGGGGGTTGGGATGGGGGGCAGGGGATGGGGGACGGGGGTTGGGATGGGGGGGTTTGGATGGGGATGCGAGAGGATGGGATGGGGGGAGGGGGGTGGGGATGGGGGGATGGGGTTGGGGGGTATGGGGCTTGAGGGGAGCAGAGGTTGGCATTTGGGGAGGATGGGGGTTGGGATGGGGGGATGGGGGTTGGGATGTGGGGGTTGGGATTGGGGGATGATGGGGGGTGGGATAAGGGGGATGGGGGTTGGGATGTGGGGGGTGGGATTGGGGGATGATGGGGGGTGGGATAAGGGGGATGGGGGGTGGGATAGGGGGGTGGGGGGTGGGAGAGGGGGAGATGGGGGTTGGGATGGGGGGATGGGATGGGGGGAGGGGGGTTGGGATGGGGGGGAGGGGATGGGGGATGGGGGTTGGGATGGGGGGGTTTGGATGGGGATGCGAGAGGATGGGATGGGGGGAGGGGGGTGGGGATGGGGGGATGGGGTTGGGGGGATGGGGCTTGAGGGGAGCGGAGGTTGGGATTTGGGGAGGATGGGGGTTGGGATGGGGGGATGGGAGCTGGGATGTGGGGGGTGGGGGGTGGGATTGGGGGAGGATGGGGGTTGGGATAGGGGGGATGGGGGCTGGGATGTGGGGGGTGGGGGTTGGGATAGGGGGGATGGGGGTTGGGATGTGGGGGGTGGAGGGTGGGAGAGGGGGAGATTGGGGTTTGGGATGGGGGGGATGGGGTCTGGGATGTGGGGGGTGGGAGAGGGGGAGATGGGGGTTGGGATAGGGGGGATGGGGGTTGGGATAGGGGGGATGGGGGCTGGGATGTGGGGGGTGGGGGTTGGGATGGGGGGATGGGGGCTGGGATGTGGGGGGTGGGGGGTGGGATTGGGGGAGGATGGGGGTTGTGATAGGGGGGATGGGGGACCCCCACCTCACTGCATCCCCATCCCCCCCCAGGGTGCTGATCGTGGACTGGGACGTTCACCACGGCAACGGCACCCAGAAGATCTTTGAGGAGGACCCAAGGTAGGGGGAGGGGGGGATGGGGGGCCCATGGCTGCTATGGGGGTCCTATGGGTGCGATAGGGAGGGCTCATGGGGGT